ACCGTGCAGGTGCAGCAGCAGCTAGGGCCTGCTGCTGCTGCTGCTGCTGCTGCTGCTGCTGCAGCTGCAGGGGGAAGTCAGCAGCAAATACCCAATACCCTCCATCTGCTGCAGTGTCTGCGTAGTTAAAAGAAAGAGCTCTAAAAGGAGTAAAGCGTAGAGACATGCACTTCTTATTTTCGCTTATGTAAGACATATCCACTGAAAAACATCTGCAAACAAATCAAACAAACAAACAAATAAATAAATAAATATATAAATATATAAATATATAAATATATAAATAAATATATAAATAAATATAAATATATATAGATAAATATATAAATGAACGAATAAACAAGGAAACAAACAAAACAAATAGACAAACAAATAGACAAACAAACAAATAAACAAAACAAATAAACAAACAAACAAACAAACAAATACACAAAAGACACAGACTGATGTCTGGCGTGCAGTGTATAAACCTGCAGATAAACAAACACTCTATGTACATATATATATTATATATATAATATATATATAAAATATATATATGTATATACAATATTATATATACATATATATATATTGCTTTTTATTTGTGTGTTTTGCTGACTTGTCTCTGAAGCGGAATTTGGGCTGTATGATGAACTGTCTCCTGTCTCCAAACCCAAAGGAGACACCTAAAGAAGCATCGGGGTTGCTGCTGTTGCTGCTGTTGCTGCTGCTGCTGTCGCTGCTGTCGCTGCTGCTGTTGCTGCTATCGTTGCTGCCTAGTGAAGTTTCCCTCTTCCCTGCTGTTTCTGCTGCTGCTGCTGCTGCGCCAGCACCAGTAGCCACAGAAGCACTGGTTGCTGCTGCTGCTGCAGCAGGATCCGCTGCTGCTGCTGCTGCTGTTGCTGCTGTTGCTGCTGCTGCTTGCGTACCTTGAATTCTTCTGCAGCAAGTAGGCAGCCTCAAGGGCCCCACAACTGTCCCCTCTACACCAATTAAAAAAGGAGACAGAAGAGGGTTTGCTGCTGGTCTCAATCCAGCAGCAGCAACACGCACAGACGCCTCCCCTGCAGCAGCAGCAATACGCAGCAGCAGGAACACCAGTAGCAATCACATGCTGCAGCAACACCATCAGCACCAGCAGCAGCAGCAGCAGAGGCAGACGCAGCAGCTTGCTGCTGCGCATGCTGCTCTGGCTATTTGTGCTCCTGCCTCAGCCCCTGCACCAGCAGCTGCTGCAGCAACAGGAGAGGCAGCAGCTCCAGCAGCAATAGCAGCAAAAGCAGCAGCAAGAGCAGCAGCTGCAGCAGTAACAACAGGAGCAGCTGGTGCAGCAGCAACAACAGCTACAGCACAAGCTGCAGCAGCAATTGCAGCAGCAACTGCAGCAGCAGCTGTAGCATCAGCTGACGCAGCACCATCTGCAGCAGCAGCTGTAGCAGCAGCTGCAGCATCATCAACAGCCGTAGCATCAGCTGCTGCCGCATCTGTAGCAGCATCTGCATTAGCAGCTAGCAGCATCTGCAGCAGCAGCTGCTGCAGCAGCAGCAGCAGCATACCTTTAGCGAAGTCATGTGCTGTGCGTAGGATTACTTTGTTTGTATTTAAATCAAATGATGTTTGCGAAGAAACCCCCGACAACTTCCATCCGCATGCACTCACAGAAAACTCGCTGTTGCCGCGGCAAGCTGCGGATACACCCCAACAGCAGCAGCAGCAGCAACAGCAGCAGGAACAGAAGCAGCAGCATATTTAGAGCGAACAAAGTACACTGAATAATAATAACAGCAGCGGCAGCAAAAACAGCAGCAGATGCTGCTGCACTTATCATGGAAGTGCGGCAACTGCAACAGCAGCAGTACAAACTGCAGCAGCAGCACGAAATGCAGCAGCAGCAGCAGCAGCAAACCTGTGAGGCGGAGTGGCAGCATTAACACTTACACTACGATCAACAGCAGCAGCAGCAGCAACAACAACAACAACAACAGCACCAACACTACCGTTGGGGAAAGCAGCAACAGCAGTACGCAGCAGCGCCACAAGTAACAGCAACAGCAGCAGCAGCAGCAGCAGCAACAGCAGCAGATTACCTGAGAGGGTATACTGCGATTTATCCTTCTTGAAGCTTCCTAGAAACCTTAGGGTGCCGTCTTGTTTAAGTGGATGGGCTGTCTGTACACCCAAAAGTAATTCATATCCAAGCACGTCATGCTGCAGCCGCTGCTGCAGCTGCTGCAGTTGCTGCTGCAGTTGCTGCTGCAGCAGCAGAAAATCCTCCTTTCGGCGTCCTAGAAACGGAAGCAGCTGCTTCCCCCCTTCTTTGTGCTGCGCTGCAGCCTGTTCTTTGTGACTCGGCTTCTGCTGCTGCTGCTGCTGCTGCTGCTGCTGTTGCTGCTGCTGCTGCTGCTGCTGAGGGCCCACTGGCAGCTCAGCGCTAAGCCGAGCAAAGGCGGAGAGGCCCAGCGGAAGATTTAGCGGCACCTGCAGGTGTACAGACACCTCAACAGCAGCAACATCCGCAGCAGCAGCACTGGCAGCAGCACCAGCAGCAGCAACCGGTTGTATAGCAGCAGCAGCAGCATCACCACCACCATACTCTAAGGAGGCACCAGCAGCAGCAGCAGTAGAAGGAGCAGTAGCAGCAGCAGTAGACGCAGTAGTAGCAGCCGCAGCAGTAGAAGCAGCAGTAGCAGCAGCAGTAGAAGCAGCAGTAGCAGCAGCAGCAGCAGCATACTGTTGTGCCAAGAGAGACAGACTGCAGTCCCTTATCACCTCCAATGCTTACAGGACCTGATGCAACCTGCAGCAGCAGCAGCAGCAGCAGCAGCAGCAACAGCAGCAGCAACAGTAACAGGTGAGAACATCGGCAGACCCCGAGGTGAACATACACCCGGAGAGCCTTTTGGCTGCTGATAAACAATTGCTAGAGATGGGCTGTCTGAAGCAGCAGCAGCAGCAGCAGGAACAGTAGCAGCAGCAGCAGCAGGTAGAGACTGCATTACCCAGACACTTCGCCCCAGCGACTTGGCCGTGGATAGGTCTGGCAGCAGCAGCAGCAGCAGCAGCAAAGCAGCCGGCAGCATGGAGCAGGGAGTTCTTCGCATCATTGCTGCTGCTGCTGCTGCTGTTGCTGCTGCTGTTGCTGCTGCCGCTTGTGCTGCAGCAACTAAGACGCCTTCTCTGTGTCTTTTGCCCTAGAAGGAGGGTTTGCTGCTGCTTGTTAAGCTGTTTGTTGCTGCTGTCTTTGCTGCTGCTGCTACTGTTGCTGCTGTCTCTGCTGCTGCTGTCTCCTTTGTTGCTGGCTCCTTCGCGGCTGTCCCTTTTGCTGCTGCCTCTGCTGCTGCTGTCTCCTTTGTTGCTGTTTTTGTTGCTGCTGTCTCTGCTGCTGCTGTCTCTGCTGCTGCTGTCCCTGCTGCTGCGGCTTCTGTTTTCGCTGTCTTCGTTGCTGCTGTCTTTGCTGCTGCTGTCTCTGCTGCTGCCGCCTCTGTTGCTGCTGCTGCACAGATAACTGCAGCAAAGATGTGTGTAGCTATTGGCACTTCAAGAAGAAGACAACATGCTGCTGCTGCTGCTGCTGCTGCTGCTGCTGCAGCTGAGGGCTGGGATCGGGGTGGCTTCGAGGGGACAGTAAGCCAAACCCTAAACCCTAAACCCTAAACCCTAAACCCCAACCGTTGAGCTTTGGGGAGTAATCCTGCTAACAAACATAGTTAACTAGCTGCTAGCTGTCTCTCTCGCTGCTGCTGCAGCTGCTGCTGTCGCTGCTGCTGCTGCTGCTGCTGCTGTTACACACTCTTGGCGGGGGGGCCCTACTGCAGCAGCTGCAGCAGCAGCAGGAGCAGCAGCAAAACAGGGGTTTTGCCTTTTAATTTTGTATCATACTTCCTCTCCAAGTGCTTGAAACCCTAAATCCTAAACCCTAAACCCTAAACCCTAGGCGCAGTCACTCAGCGACTTGTTTGCGTCTCGGGGGGCTCTCCGTTGCATGGCAAAACCCTAAACCCTAAACCCTAAACCCTAAACCCTAAACCCTAATATCTAACATATTCGCCTTAATTTTAAACAATTTCTAACCCTGAACTCTAATCAGTAAAATATCAGCGTACACTCCAACCAACCCCCCTGAGACTGTAAACCCTAAACCCTAAACCCTAAACCCTCAAGGGCGCCCTACGCTCAATTACTTCTTGTGGAGTTTCTTTTTAATGAGGAAGTCAATAAAAAGACAAATGAAGACGAAAATAACGTCGCCATTCATCCAACTACCCCTCCCTATACACCTCAGCTCTGCCTATGCACCTCATCTCTGCCTATACACCTCAGATATCCCTATACACCTTAAAAGAGTGCAGTAGACAGCCCTCCTAAACAGCCCCAAAGGCCTATTATTCATAGTGAACAGCAACTCCTAACAACCTGCTGCTGCTACCGCTGCTGCTGTTGCTACTGCTGCTGTTGTGCTGCTGCTGTTACTGCTGGTTCTGCTGCTAAGTCCTGCATGTACAGCAGGGCCTCACTTGGTGATACGAAGAACTCTAGAAACCTCAGGGAGGTGTGGGGACCGCTCTGCCCCAACTGCATGCACCTGCATAGAGGCAGGGAGTTGTTGCAGTGGCAGGTGCTGCTGCTGCTGTAGTATTTGTTGCAGCAGCTGGTGGTGCTGCTACTGCTGCTGTACTATTTGCTGCAGGGGCAGGTGGAGCTGCTGCTGATGTTGTAGTATTGTAGCAGCAGCAGGTGTTGCTGCTGCTGCTTTACTATTTGCAGCAGCAGCAAATGCTGCTGCTGTACTATTTGCAGCAGCAGCAGGTGGTGCTGCTGCTGCCCCTGTACCATTTGTTCTAGGGTTTAGGGTTCAGCAGCAGCAGCAGCTGCTGCTGCTGCATCATTTGTTGTAGCAGCAGCTGCTGCTGCTGCAGCACTACTTGCTGCAGCAGTAGCTGCTGCTGCGGCAGCTCTATTTGCTGCAGCAGCAGCAAATCACTGAGGGTTTATTAATGAGGTTGTTCTTCGCCTCCACAGCAGCCAGCCGCTAAACCCCAACACACAAACCACTGCAACGGCATCAAGAGCAGCAACGAGAACTGCAGCAACAGCAACAACAGCAGCAGCAGCAGCAGCAGCAACCGCATCCGCACTAGCACGAGTAGCAATAGGTGGATCAGCAGCAGCAGCAGCACCAGCAGAATTCGAGTGAAAGATGGTGTATTTGCAGTACTAAGAACAGTAGCAGCAGCAGCATTATCAGCAGCAGTAGCAGTAGCAACAGCAACGGCAGCACCAGCAACAGCAGCTGCAGCAGCAGCAGCAAAAACAGTAGCAGCAGCAATACAAGCCCCAGCATTAGTAGCATCCCGAGCAGCAGTTCGGAGCAGCAACAGCAGCGTTAGCAGTAGCAGATGCATTAGCAGCAGCATTATCATTAGCAGCAGCAGCAGCAGCATTAGGAGTAGCAGCAGCATTAGCAGCATCAGTATTAGCAGAAGCAGCAGCATTAGCAGCAGCACCAGCAGAACACAGCAGGTGTCTCTTCACCGATATACTGTCTCCAGGTTAAAGCATATAAAGGAGACACTGTCTCCGCCAGACTCTGCACGTCTTCACTTGCTGCTGAATGAACGCCGCTGCACCACAAATAAGAAAACTGCCAACGCGAAGCAGCAGCAGAACAGTGCACGTGGTACCCTGCAGCAGCAGCAGCAGCAACAGCAACAGCAGCAGCAGCAGCAGGGGTGATGGGGGAGGGGCGGCAGCACTCCAGAAGACAGACGCAAATGCTGAAAGTCCTGTTGCTGCTGCTATTGCTGCTCAGCAGCTAGAAGCAGTTTGAGGCCTCTTGTAGCGGCAGCAGCAGCCAATACTGCTGCTACTGCTTTTGCTGCTGCTGTTGCTGCTGCTGCTGCTGCTTACCCTTCTCTGCTAGACGCCGCACGCGTGTGGCTTCTAAATCTGTCCACGGAGCGCTGACTATTTCGGTTACTGCAGCAGCAGCAACAGCAGCAGCAACAACCACAGCCGCATTAAGAGCAGCAGCAGCAGCAACAGCGGCAAGGCGTTGTGCGTCTGCTGCTCCGCAGAAGCACCATCATCAGCAGCAGCATGATCAGCAGCAGCAATAACAACAGCAACAGCACCACCACGAGGAGCATCCCGAGAGCTTGCAGCAGCAGCAGCAGCAGCAGCAGCAGCAGCAGCAGCAGCAAACAACCCGATGCATTACAGTGTGTGGGATCGTCTTCAAATGTGGGATCGATTGCTGTCACCAGCTTGGCGCCTGGCAGCAAACGCTGCACTTCATCTCTGCAGCAAAACAACAGCAACAACAGCTTCGAGCTGCATGCAGGCAATGGCCTTCAGCACTTGCTGCTACAGCTGCTGCTGCTGCTGCACCTGCTGCTGCTGCTGCTGCAGCTGCTGGTGTTGCTGTTACTGCTGCTCCTCCTCCTGCAAGCGGTTCCGGCAGCTTCAACGCGAAAAGCAGCACCCCACCGACTCTCGCAGCAGCAGCAGCAGCAGCAGCAGCAGCAGAAGCAGCGGGAGTCACCTCATGTCTCCTGTCCACCAGAGGAGATTGTTTGCTTGTGCTGCTTTAAAGAGATCAAACAGCAGCCGCGGGCAGCTGTCTCCGCAGTCAAAGGCGTTGAGGCTGCAGGAGGGACAGTTTAGAGACACCATAATAGGAGACTGCCAGCACACAGCAAGAGACAGCAAATCTTGCAGCAAAGCAATACCTGCAGCAACATCACAGGAAACACAATAGCTGCTGCTTCTGATCCTCATGTTGCTGCTGCTGCTCCTGCTGCGGCTGCGGCTGCTGCTGCAGATGCCGCTGATGTGGAGTGGTATTGCGACTTCTCTGCCACTGCTGCTGCTGCTGATGCTGCTGCTGCTACAGCTGGCACTGCTGCTGCTCCTGTGGAAGCTGCTGGGGGCGACTGAGACGCTCTTCTTCCTGCTGAAGCTAACTCTGCTGCTGCTGCTGCTGCTACTGCTGCTGCTGCTAGGCACTAGGCGTACGCTGTTCTGCAATCGTTTCGCGGGTCTTCACGTCGATGCTGGAGACCGTCCCGTATATATCCCGCTGCAGCAGTAACAGCAGCAGCAGCAGGAGCAGCAGCAGGAGCAGCAGTAGCGATGTAGCTTCAGTAGCAGCAGCAACAGCAGCAGCAGCAGCAGCGTATTTCGTCTTCCCAAGCGTTCTCCAGCAGCTGTGGTGCAAACCGGGGACAAGAGGCTTCTGCAGCCTCAACAGGAGCAGCAGCAGCAAACACTGCAGCAGCAGCAGCAGCAGCAGCAGCAGCAGGGTCACCTCGATCCACCAAGCCCCCGGGTTTAGTGCAGCAATATCAATCCAAGCAAATAACTCAACTGGGGCGAAGGCCGCAGCAGGAAAAATGCGGGAGGCGTCCGTCATTCGAGCGAACGTGCTGTCTCTCTGCAGCAGCAGCAGCAGCAACAACAACAACAACAGCAGCAGCAGCAGTAGCAGCAACAGCCACAGCAGCATAAGCAGGTAAGCAAGCAGGTGCATAGGTGTGACACCCCTTTGAAAAGCAGCAACAAGTGCAGCAGCAACAAGTGCAGCAGCAACAATAGCTGCAACAGCAGCTGCAAAAGCACCAGCAGCAGCAGCAGCAGCAGCTCACAAACAAGAACAGCGTGTGGCTAGCAGCAATATGAACATCAGTAGCAAACGCAGAGGCCCCTGCAGCACGGGCAGCACGAAATGACTCGCTGAGACCGCAAGACAAAGCAGGGCTGGCATAGACAGCAGCATGTGCTGCAGCAACAGCAGCAGCAACAACAGCAGCAGCAGCAACAATGCTAACAACAGCAGCAGCAACAACAGCAACAGCAGCAGCAGCAACACCAGCAACAGCAACAATGGAGGCGGCAAGAACAGAAGCAACCGCACCGGCAGCAACAGCAGCAGCAACAGCAACAGCAACAGCAACCGCAACAGCAGCAGCAACAGCAGCAGCAACAGCAGCAGCAACAGCAGCAGCACCCTGAGTAGCCTGCACATTTTTTACATTGTGTTTTCAGGGCGCAGCAGCGGAAGTCCTCTTTGACCCATCAACATCGGCCGAGGCGGCAGCCAAGACTCGTTGCTGCTGCCACTCTCTGCTGCTGCTACTGCTGCTGCTGGTGCAGCTGCTGCTGGTGCTGCTGCTGTTGCTGCTGCTGTATCATTTGGTGGGTTGGCTGCGGCTGCAGGCATATCTGCTGCCGCAACCGTTGCAGCTGCCCTTGGCTTCCTTTGCTGCTCACTTGAAGGAGTGGGTTCTGCTGCTGCTGCTGCTGAGCTTGGCTTCACAGCAGAAGCAGGTGCTGCTGCAGCAGCTGCTGGTGCTGCTGCAGCAATTGCTGGCGTTGCTGTCTCAGTAGTTTGTGAAGCCGCAGCAGCAGCAGCGTTTTGCGCAGCTGCTTCGCCTGCTGCAGCAGCACCAACTGCTGAGGAAGCTCTCGCTGTTGCTTCACTCAGCCTTCTGCTAGTAATGATAATGCTGCTGCTGGTCAAGTTGCTGCTGTTCGTGCTGCTGTTGCTGCTGCTGCTGTTGCTGTTGCTGCTGTCAGTTGTTGCCTCCACACCAGCTGGGAGAGCATTGTAGGGCCGCTCACGCTGCATGTTGCTGCCTGTCTCGCTGCTGCTGCTGCTGCTGCTGCTGCTGCTGCTGGGGCAGCGGTGGTTGCTGCTGCTGCTGCTGCTGTTGCTGTTGTTGTTGTAGAGTGCTGCGAGGCCTCCTCCCTGCAGCGGCGGCTGTCTGAAGATGCAAGGCGAGCCGAAGCCTCCGCTGCCAATAAAAGGAGACAGCAGCAGCAGCAGCCAGAGAGCAGCAGCAAGCGCAGCAGCACCCCACAGGCGGATACAGGTAAAGGTGCTGCGATTTGTTGGCCTGTAGTACCTGCTGCTGCTGCTGCTGCTGTTGCCGTTGCTGCTATTGCCGTTGGTGCTGCTGCTGCTGCTGCTGGGAAAGCTAATAACGCTGCCAATTGCTGCAGGGGCATGCAGCCGTTGTGAAGAGAAAGAATAGGTAGGCAGCAGCAACCGGTCTCCTGTGGTTGCAGGCGGCGTGCTGCTGCTGCTGCCGCTGCTGCTGCTGCTGCTGCTGCTGCTACTGTTTCTATCGGGGCCCGGCGTTGCCTCACATAACAGCAGAGGGACCCCATGGGCAGCAGTAGATTCACCTTCTTCTGCAGCAGCAGCAGCAGCAGCAGCAGGGGGAATGGAAGCTGCTGCTTCTTTAAGGATGTAGCAGAAGGCCCCAGAAGCAACCGGCACAGCAGCAGCATGCAGCAGCGGCAGGTGCAGCTGCAGCCACAGACGAACTGCGAAGAAGTGCTGCGGAGACACCTGAGCGACAGATACTGCAGCAGCAGCAGCAGCAGCAAAGGCCGCCCCCAGCAGCAAACAGTGGAGTGCTCCTAGGCGAGGTTTGATTCCTTGCTGCTGCAGATGCGAGCCGACATAGAGCAGCAGCAGCGCATGCACAGCCAGCAGCAGCAGCAGCAGCAGCCACAAGCCAGCACCCATACTTAAAACCATATCGGTCTCTACGAAGACATAGCGCTGTACAGACGCATACTCCCCCTCCCAGCAAGCAGCAAAGAGTGCCGCTGCAAGAAAGCTGCAGCAGACCAGCAGCAAAAACAGCCTCTCTGCTGCAGCCCGTAGCCTGCTGTATGTACACCCCAGCATCCCCTCTTCCTCCTGCTGCTGCTGCTGCTGCACGTCCCTACGACTGCAGCAGCAGCAGCAAATCGGTAGCTCATACCAACAACGGAGGGCGCGCACCGCCCACGGAAGCTGCTGCCGACGTTGCAACAGCAACTGCTGCTGCTGCCGCTGCTGCTGCTGTTGCCGCTGGTGCAGCGAACCGGCAGCTATGCTGTTTGGCGCCCAAGGGCTGCTGCGAACTGCAGCAGCAGCAGCAGCAGCAGTGTCCTCGTGAGGCAGGAGCTCATCAGACATTTTATCGTCTCCTTTAGCCCCTGTCGTTCTGCTGTTGTGCTGCTGCAGCGCTTGCTGCTGCTGCTGTGGCTGATAATCTTGTTGCTGCTGTTGTTGCAGCTGCTGTCGCAGCTGCTGCTGCCCTTACGGCCTACGGCCAGTCGTAGCCCCTGTAGCCTGCAAGATGCGTTGCTTCAGGCTTTGCTAGGGATTCCGCTGCTGCTGCCGTTGCTGCTGCTGCTGCTGCTGCTGCTGCTCCAGCTGCGAGTTTGCTGCCTGTGCTGCGGCGCGGAGAAGACCGCAGCAGACCACCAGAGGTTCTGAGGGCCTGGGGTGTTGAAACATGTCGCTAGAGATGCACCCGAGTGCTTCGGGTGTATGTACACCGTATTTGCATTGCCATATTGCTTCATAGAACGCTGTGGCTAAGCTGTCTGGCTGCTCCGTCACTGCAGTTAATGCTGCTGTTGCTGCTGCTGCGGCTGCTGCAGCTATTGAGTGGACGGTGGTAGGGCCTCCAGTATTGCTCTGATGCAGTGTCTTTTAACCATGAAAAGTATTACTTCAATCTAAGTAACAGGAAAGAGACCAAAGGAGAGCAGCAGCTGCCTTGTGCATGCGGCTGCTGGTTAACCATTGCTGCAGCCGCTGATCTGCTGCCGCTGCTGCTGCTGCTGCTGCTGCTGCTCTGACTCTGTCGGCTCAGCACTCTGAGGGTTTCCGCAGCAGCGAAGGGCCCCACCTTTATTTTTATGGTTTATCAATAGTTTATTTAACGTTTAAATATCTTAGAATTGATGTCAGTGCCTCTATTCAAAGCAAAGAACGCAGCCTTGCCTGCTTGTGGGTCCCCGGATCGCTCCCCAGTGATTTTCTCTCTTCAAGTTTCTGCTGCTCTTCTCCATTTACTGGTTATTCAAAGGAGATGTAAAGGAATATTACGATATGCGAGGTCTCTAGCACCTGCTGTTGCTTCTGCTGTTGCTGCTTCTGCTGCTAGTACTGCTGCTGCTGCTGTTGCCAGCGTTGTCTCGATTGGTTCGCTGTTAGTGGAGAGGTGTGAATGTTTGTTGCAGTGCGTTGTTTGTATTGCATGAATATACACTGAAACTTTAATTATAAATACGAGTCAATACCTCCTCTTATTTTAAAATTGTTTCCCTTCTCAATGGAGCCTGGTGTGCCTCTAGTTGACGAAATATGAATTTACTGTCTTCGGTCTTAGATATGAAGATCGCAGCAAGCATCAGCATAATTATATGATTAAAATGGGGGGCCCCTGAAAGCAGCTAACCTTCCCTCGCTTTCTACGTACAGTGGCAAACGAAAATAGAATTGTTGCTGAGAGTAGCGAGGCTAGCAAGTGCTTTATACTGCATCATCAGGTACAGCAACTGTGCTACAGCGACCTTATTTTACAGAAACTCAAGCAGGAATGGCTGCTTAAGTTGATTTGTATTGAAGTTATGGTGGTTGCAGCTGGTTTCCACTGTATCATTTCATGTTGCTTCCCTCATACAAACCCCAGGCTAGCTGTTGGGCGGATAACAATTTCATGCAAATGTTTGTTTTTCCATAGCTAACGCACATTCAGAATACCCATTGAGAGTAGAGCCTGCAGTAACAGCCGCTCTTAAAAGCTAAGTGGGTGGCTGGGCAGATTGTTGCTCCAAGTACACATGGAGAACGACATAGGTTCCACTGTTATATAGGAGAAATAGATGAAGAGTTCTGAAGATAACAAAAGTTTTGCGTTTTTGTATCAGAGATTAGTGGATGAAGGATTTCCGATGCCAATTTCAAATTCGAAACCCTTCAGAGTTTTTTTCGAAGTGTTTTGTTGAAATGCTACTTACATTTCAACAAAACATATCTAAAGTAGTGGCTCCAGCGGTTGGAGTTACAGGTAATATTAGCTGTGGATCTGCAGCTTTTCTTCGTAATGTGACTGATATTTCAAGGAAGCATATCGAAAAAGAATTTGAAGGTTTCGAATTAGAAACCTTCATATCCCTTCGTAATGTGAACGGTATTTCAAGGAAACATATCGAAAAAGGAAGTGAAATGTTTCGAATTAAGAAGGTACAATTAGGGATCCTCACGTTTTGCCTTCCACTTCATCCACATGCCATAACCTCAAGCTAACCTACGCTGAATTTGCAATATTGAAAGGCATTCGTAAGACCTTTGCTCAACCAGCTCCAAACAAGTTGCGAGGGAGATTATTCATCTGATCGCTAGCTTTGCGAAAGACTCAGTATCATGCTCCAAGGGGTAAATCTAGAGACAGTAGTGTTGTGAACAAGTTTAAGGCAGCAGCAGCTGATGGTGTCACCTCCCTGCAAAAATCTAATAAATGTTGAAACCACCCCCTAATAGTGCTCGAGTGAGATCAGCAGATCATATCACGAGGCAAGTGCGAATCCAAGAGTTACTGTAATGACTACTTGAATGAATTACTGAGTGTTGAAGCACCATAATTTAAGGGAAAAGGTGCGCAAGCAACGCGATGGAAGATCGATGTTTTGCCTTCATCGCAGAGAGCATGTTCGCTCTCAAATAGTCAATTGTGCTACTTTCTGCCACTCAACTTTGCACTCCCCAGGTCCCGGCAACCCCTGTATCTTTTCAGTTGGTGAACGGGTATCCTGGCGGTTCCTGATGCGAACCTCTGGGAAAGTTAATATGGGGAACTGATAAAACCTTCCCTCGTTCTCGTGTAGAACGACACCCTACGTGAGTATGACGTACAAGAAGTGGAAAAAATGTAGACTTCAAGACGTCGAATCTATCTGTGGATCTGTGTTGATTCGATGCATACTGCCCAAGAGGAAGTATGTGGGTAATCCATAACCCAGTTTGTGCAGAGTATTAAGCGCTTCTTCTCAATGAAAAGAGTTTGATGGAATTAATGCGCTGCCTGAATTACTGCGATGTGGGATAGAGTGGCAGAGAAGCATTGCACTGCCACTCAAGTGCTGCAGGAGAGCTGTGTGCGCTTAGAAGCTGAGCGCGAAAAGACCGACAGCAACGAAAACGCTGCTCAGGAGGGCTCCATAAGCAGAGGCAGAGGCAGCTCCACTAGTGACGGTGTCTGTAACCTTTTTCCAGGTTTCCTCGCTGAAAACAAGCACAACAGAAAACTGTCGGCGAAGCCCGCACGTAATTTTTCTATGCATAGCGTAGTAGCTTGAGCCTAAAATTGTCGGTGGCCTATAGCCTTGCCGGAGAGCATGAGAGCATACAAATTGCATATAGTGAACAACTAACTGCGCATATCTACTAATAGGAAGGAAGGTTTCAGCTCTCACCTGATGGGTGCTTCGTTCTCCTTGAAGACAGGAGGTTGCAGCAGGCAAAGCAATCCTGGTTCGCTGCAGCCTGTCACGGTGTAGCATTTTATTTTGGTATCAGTTCCTTCGCTGACGAGGGAGATAAAGTTTGTTGCTGCTCCCTTCTTGTAAACTTCTTCGGTTGAAGTGTACTTTGGAGGGATGGTGAAGTCGCTGATAAGGAACACAGCCATACTCCAAGGGAGGGGTCAGCCGGACAATTCTAGCACGTGCAAACAGTAGAAGTGTACACCTGATACTTGAGGGGTTCTTCAGTTGCAAAGGACTCACCTGAACAAGTCAATGCCATTTTTCCATTCTCTGACGGCTAAAGAGCAAGTGGCAGTTTCACCCATGTAGTACATCAGGCTTATTTCTTGGTCGGTAAACTGAAGACAAAAAATTGGCATTGCCTGCACACTTGAGGTTCAGTGGAACTATTCTTACTTTGCTACCTGTAGAATAGTTAACTCTAACGGGAAACACGCGCGGCAAGTGGCATTGCTGATCCCTAGAACACCGCTGTGGCTTTAAAATTCAAAGAAAGATGGTCATGATGCGCACCAAGATGGGGGCATTCCCAGACTTGAGGGCCTCGCACGTCAAGCCTTTCCCAATCAATTCGGAAGCCTTCGGTTTCGCACCATGTAAGTCCGTCGCGGCAGCGAACGGTGGCAGAGCGAGGCCATCTTGGGCGCGGAAATCATTTATCTCCGTGAGGCAGCTTTCTCCCTCCTCTGTTAAGGCACAATTGGCAGTATCAGAAAGCACAGTTGCCTCTTTTCAGCACCCACTTGACTACGTAGAGCGTTAATCAGCTGATTTCCATTTCGCTGAGTGGCACAGGCAGCAATTGACATCGTCCCGAGGACGTCTGTGAAGCGTAATGTGCGTGCTGTGGCAACTTACCACGTTCTTTGAAATCCATCTTTTCTCCGTAGACATCCAAGACCTTTTTCCATGTTTCGTCGCTGCAAGCACAAACGTTGAATGATTATAGTGCACGAAGGCTTGCATGATCATCCATACTGCGGTTGTTGTCCACACTTTGTGAACAAACGCAAACTATTAGTTGCTTTGGGGAGCAAAATCTGGGTGAATAGGGAAAATGCACATATACACGCCACTTCATCGCGAAGACGCCAGCCCAAGTAATCCAAAGTAGCAGAAGTGTATTTAGTTCATGAAACGCTACAAGTGCTTGAACAGAAGTGCTTATGCCGTTGAGTTTCTACCGCAAACCTCAGCGCTCACGTGATGGGCTTTTGGTTTTCCTCCAGAGTTGGCCCTTTAAGTAAGCAGATGAGTGCGGCGTTAGTGCAACCTGTAGCTTTGTAGCATGCCGTTTCGCGGGTATTATCAGTCATAATGGAGACGAAACCGGCTACTGCGCTGTCATAGTAGATTTCGCCGTCGGCTGCTTTCGACTTCTTCGTGAAGGCAGGCAGGACGCCGGTGCTGCAGACAGTGTTCCGCATCAAGCAATTAGCAAGTAGGAGGACGCAAGAATATTCGGTGGTTTGCCACGGTGCAAGGGGAGTGGGTTTTCGCTTGCAACAGTAGGAGCAAAGTTTCTGCATGCTGTCGAATTAAAGGGCCAGCAACACCGATTACTCTTTCGCTGATGTACGCTAGCTCACCCGAGCCGTGCTGCCCCTTTTTTCCATTGCTCAACGGCTTCTTCTGCCGTTGGAGGAGTGTCCCCTTCTTTTGTGGCGTAGATGATAGTGTGGCCTGCTGCCGCCTGTTCATAAAATGGCACCACTCATCGTGCACTCCGACCTGATGACGTTTTGTAGCTTCCGGGAGAGGGGCGCAGCTGACTCGGATGTTCATTAACCCGCTGCCTTCCTCTGGATGGGGCGTATATGGGTTATCCTTTAGGGGGTGGCTGCAAGTGGCTGCCGCCCCAGGAAAAACTCACCGTTGGGTCGACTGTCATGGTATCTATCGCTTCGCATGTCAATCCATACAGCTTCTTTGCGCCAGCCTCCAAGTTAGAGCCTTTTGTGAAGCCCGCAAGTTCCAGACCTCCGGCACCCCGAGCAGCATTGACTGCTGTCACGCAGCTAGCGGAGCCCGCATCTGAAAGAAAAGGCATGGTGGCGCATTTGCTGGGCAGCAAGGTGCATAACCCACTTGGTTGGCTGGCTGCTACGTCCGGTGGGCAAGCTATCGATAATGCAATCTTGGCTTACCGTCAGCTGCCAGTGCGGGCTTCACCTTGTGGGATTCCTGCAACTTGTGCCACAGATCTTCGCTGCAGGCAACAGGCAAGGCTCACATGGTCCCGCTGCTCTGGCCCTTAGTAGTTAAAGACTTCCGAAACGCTGATCGCTGTGCAGATGTGTAGTGCCGCTGGGAAGATACTCGGATAAACCGGTTTTCGCGCTTGTACATACTCCCGGCACAGGAAGTTAAAAGGCGCTGTAACCTCACCTCACAGGAACCGTTTCCTCCTCTATGCCAGAGGGCTTGTAGTAGCAAACGAGGGTATCATCTCCACACGTATCTGTAGTTCCGCAGTAAATGGTCTGCTGGCTCGCGCTCAGCAGGCTGACAAGGCCTACCGAATTTGGGTTTGCATATACCAAGGTGGCGTCTGAGTATGCCGGAGGATCTTGGCCCCTGAAAAGACACACAGAAGGCTTGAAGTCCCGTGGCCTCCGCGATACAATCATGACTGCAGATTACGCTACCGCTGTTGTGTTTTTTTACGTACTCGAAATTTGCAAACCCTGTCTTCCACTCGCTGAGGGCTTCATCACAGCTGATTTTGGTCCCTGAGGAAGAGGGAGTTGGCCTTGTGGCTGAAACGACAAATACTTTAGCTGAGCTCCCCTGGAAAAAAACCCACACAATCTTGCTGCATTTCGTTTTACATTTTTGTTCTGCAACACGATGGTATTGACACTCAATAAGCAGGAGGAATCCGCCTCGTGTACTGGTGGACCTACCCAAATGTGTTGGAATTCCCCGGATTTGATCGCTTCACAGTTAGTAGCAGTAAAGAAATCTGAAAGATCGGTTGCCGATTCTTCGTTACTATTTGGTTGGTAGTTTGTCGTAGAACCTAGTGACGTCCGAAACTCGTTTATTGCCTCCGTGCAGTGACTGCCGCTGTCTGAAGAAAGAAATAGCAGTATTCGAGATTAGCGCAAAAACCATGCTTCTTTTGTACTTCATGTCATCGCTGCGAAAGTCCTTGTGCAACATTGTTTACTTGACGGTTGTTGCTACTGTGTGTAACAACTCGAGCCACCTACGCTGACCGAGGGCAAATGGGTCCTACAAGAGTGGCAATGGCGGCCCCTCTGCAGAGTTTGTTTAAACTTACCTAATTTGACCAGCTTAGTTGCCTTGACCTCACTCCGCGCTGCCCTGTCTCCTGGAGCGAGTGCATCCGCAAAGCTCCCGTGAGCAATTGCGGTTGCGACCGCAAGTGCGGCACACGTGCAGAGAGATTTCATCTCCGGAAAGTAAAAAACAACCGGTGCTCTCCAAATTTACAAAGTGAAATTGGAATTAAACAAATGCATGAACACTTTTACCCCCAAGTGAACGGGCAGCTCAGCCAGCCGCGTGAGCCGGATGGCGGCCCGCACGGTGGATCCACCGGCCTCAGCTCGCGTGCAGCAGCTGACTGTCGAGTCGACGTATAATCCCCCCTCCACAGTAGTGGCTTGAATGCATTTATGTTGACAATTATTTTAGAATTATCCATATCTCTCATCTGTGTAACAAATGGGGTTCAGTTAATGGCAAGCGGTGTAGCTGGATGCCTTTTTCAGTGTAGGAGACACTCAGGCCGGCCACTGAAACCGCCGCGTCAAAGTCAGCGCAGAGGAATCGAGCGGCTCTTTTCACCTTTCCACAAGTGGAACTCTAAGCAAGCTTTAATATTGTGTGAATAATAGCAAAAATATGGGGATTGAGAGCTTAACTTATTGTGGATTCGCGATGCGCTTGTGTTGGATCTGACGTAAATCGGTCGATCCAGGGGCACGACAACTGGGGGCTGTTCCGAGCAGCAAATGCCGAAATAAGAAAAGTTTTGAAGAGTATTTTTATTGTTCCTAAAAATTGCTTTTCCTTTTTAAATACGAATATGTCGGTGGAAGCGTTCTTCATTTGTTTCCTGGCAAGGGCATTACATCGGGGGGTACTGGCCGTGCATTGAGCCCCTCGGACTGGGATCAGCAATGTTACAGAACATACTGTAGCCTTGAATTCGATAGAAACAAGCCTCTTCCATTTCATTTTCAATTACGGAAGTGGAGGTTCCAGTCGATGATCATGAGTGGAAGGAGACCACGAGCATAACCACTGAGATTTGGACTGGTGTTGCAGCAGGTATGGTCTGCTCGAAGTTTGCACTAGAGGCATTTACACTTGCGTAGCTGCATTTGCGGGTCTCCTATCTTAAGAAATCTGTAAATTTAGTTCATCTTATGTGGCTTTATTGCAACTAGCGACAGATCCCTAGTAAGATCCAGGCGTTTCGAACGAACCGGCACGAGCAGCAAGCACGCCAGCGGTGTGCATCACTGCATTTATCCCACGTGCCAATAGGAACGCCATGGGGAATGGAAATGAGGGAGGAAAGAAAAGAAATTAACGCAAAAAGGAAACAATAACATAGAAAACAAGCAGGGCAAGCACGCGAAGCAGGACAGAGCAACAAGGCCCGAGCCACTCTAAAGTGCAGAAATACAAAGTGCGCACGAAGTAAGTGCAGCCAACCTAGAGCCCGCCAATAGCGGCAAGGGCTGAAGAGAAGACAAGGAAGTGGGGAGAATATTCCGAGTTATGAATATGATAGACTTCAGTAATCTGTGAGAAATACTAGCACAGTGCAGGGGCAGCGCGCTAGTGTCCAGCAACTCCACTGCGCATTCGGCGCTACTGAGAAGTGCAGGCAGTTCTTTCAGTGCAGACAAAACTCAAGAGAAACCATTCGAGAACGTGGGGGCTTTAAGTGTTACAAGCAGTGCTGGGCGGAGTGTAAGCCGCATTTAGCAAGACAAAGACACAGGTAGGTGCTAAAAGGGATATCTAGGCTGGCGCATTGGTGCAATTCCTGCTGCGAGGTAATCCCAGATGCATGAATATCCAGGACCCTTTTCTGTGCCTGCACTAGAACTGTAGACTGTTGTTGAGTGCATTCATAGTGCTCAATAGCCAACTTGCATGCAAACAGAAATACGAAATACCACGTCACACGGAATGAGACACAGTGTGCATGGAGCTGCACTTCCTAGGTGAAGGCTTTCTACTAATTTTATGGCTTTCCCTGTAACGATATTGGTCATATTGGTCCCCTCGGAAAATCCCAGGGGTTTTCGTTGCACTTGCTCTGCAAAGAAGAGCATTGAGATGGATATCTTGTCGCCTGTTGGCGAAAAGTTGCTGCGAAAGACGGTGTAGTGCCACTCATATCCTCGTCTGCCTCTTTTCCCATTAATCGCTTGAACATACTTAGGCTGTTGTGCTTGGAGGACAGAGCAGCATCCGCGCGTAGGACATTTTCAAAGTTGATCTATTTCCCCTTCGTGTGCATGAGTTGACGACTCTTGGGGACCCACTTACTAATAACAAACATGCGTTCGTTGAAGGTTTCTGTGCCTGTATTCTACATTGCTGTAGACTTGCGAAAGCTCAATGTGCAAGACGGAAGGCTAGCACCTTGAGTTTTCGCCCTGCATTGTCACAGAATAAGACTTGTATTACAATTGCCACCACTGAAACTTCCCATGGTCCTTGGTGGTATTGCTCCCTGCATTTTCGGAGTTTTAACCTATACAACCACTGGAGGCGTGCATCACGATTTCGTACGATGGCCTACATCTTCCAACTGAAACTGTCGAAGAACGCTGCAAATGGATACCAAAGGGGAAGGCACTTTGTTCCCCAGCGCAATGTGAGACATAGGGCCATACAATCGCTTCAATGTTTCGGCAGTTGGGTAGCGATGTTTATCGTTTCTGTGCATGAATTGGCCTCGCAGGTTTCCTCTTACAAGGTCCAGCATGTGTTCGACCTCGTCCTTCAAGAGGATTACTATAACTATTGGCACTCGTCAGTGCTTGTAATGCACAGTTTTCTCCATCTAGCGGGCATGTCAACACAAAATACCCTTAGTCTTCAGCCCATAGGTATTGCAGAGTAGTGGCAGAATGACGTCACAAAAGTGCACCATGGTAGGACTTTGGGCAATGCCGTGAGAGCGGCCAGAATTCCAGCAAAAGGGGATCCTCATCAGGTACATTACCTAGTAGAAACTGGAAGGTTTCAATGCACAGGGCGAATTGTCACCAAGTGACAGTGGATGAGAGAGCCCCTACATGAGAAACTACGTCTTTACCCCCTCGGCACCAGCTGCACTAAATGCGTATTTCCCGCATGCTGCAACGTCTCACTATCCGGATGCAGTTTTCTCCAGCTATTAGCTGCAGCTTCGTTTTTAATCGCAGGAGCGTGAACCTCCGTGGGTTGTGCAGTTCACCATCACCGTCAGTTACGTTGCTTGGGAAAGATGCGCATACCTTGTATGCGTGTAAAGGCTTAGCAAATCTGGCTTAACTAAGCAATTTCAAAAAGTCTGCAGAGTGAAACTTCATAATAACAGACACTGATTCCGCTTGTTACGCAATTGTGCTATTGTTGTCAGTCAAGCATTGGGCTCTCTATACCTGTAAAGAATAGAGCTTCAAAAGTTGCCGAGCTGCTAAATTTGAGGTGGTCTATATTGAGGTGATCAATGGATGACATGTCATTAAAAATTACACACCGTTTAAGGAGCTGCCTCAGTTCAAGATGTTTTATTGGGATAAAAGGCTGGCACACGGTTTGCACTAGCGAACACCCCACAGCATAAAGTGTTTGGGTGGGGGGTTGCCCAGCTCAACTTATTTCTGGATGCAGTTAGAAGTTGAGCGCAAAGAGACCGACAGCAACTAAAACGCTGCTAAGCAGGGTACCATAGACCGAGGCAACGGTAGCTCCATTGCTGAGAGTCTTAGTAACCTTCGCCCAGGTCGCCTCCCTGAACGCAAGCACAAACCACAAAACTGTCGTTGCTGTTAACCCAATACTTCCCGTTCTCGCTTCCACCGGTGGCTTTTAGACCCCTGAGGATGCAAAATTGCAGGTTCCCCATGGGTGTGTCCAGAAGCGTATTTCTCGTTGCGCCAGCAATATATATTATATGTGTATGTATGCGTATATGAACGGCCTTAGGTAATAACTGAAAGGTTCAGTTCATAGAGGGAGGGGAAATGCTGACGTAATAGGCGATTGCTCCTCCGTGAAGACGGCAGGCTTCAGCACGCAAACCAAACCTGCTTCGGTGCAGCCAGTGACGGTGTAGCAAGTGACTTTAGTATCGGCTCCCTCGCTGACGAGCGAGATAAAGTTTGTTGCTGCTCCTGTCTTGTACAATTCTTCGGTTGAGGTGTACTTGGGAGGGATAGTGACGTCGCTGATAAGAAGTGCAGGCACGCTTCAAAAGCTGCTATCGGCCTTATGATTGGAGCATGCACAGGCCATGAACGTGTATACAGTGACTTCACTTCTGCCGCTGCTAACGCTGAAGGAGGAATGCCTAGATGGTGGAAGCTCTCCTAGAAGATTTCGACGACGATTTCAGCCTCACCTAAACTTTTCATAGCCCTTTTTCCAAGAGTCGACGGCGTCAGAACATGTGGCGCTTTCGCCAGAGTAGTACATCACGCTGAGTTTTGAGTCGGAGTACTGCGGACAAAACGTGTGGGCGCAAGGTGCAAAGAATAAACTTGACGCACTTTTTGTCGTTTCGCCTGTTGCAGTATCTTGCAACTCAACGAACGTCACAAGCATTCTTTTGCCGAGTGGTCGCATTTAAGGGTTCCCAAGATCCGGCAAGCTGCTCAAAATTCAGAGAGTGAAGGTTCGAATGTTCACCAGGATGGGTGCATTTCCAGCTTTGAGGCCGTCACATGTGAATTCTTTCGCAAGCACTTGAGCTGCTTTTGCGGTGATCGATCCTTCTGTCGAATCTCCTGTCGAAGTCGATGTCTCGGCAACGAAGGCTTTCAGGCCAAGACCCTCTTGCGTGCGGAACTCATTGATCTCTGTGAGGCAGCTTTCCTTGTCACCTGGTTCGATGCAATTGGCAGCAGCATACAATATGGTTGCAATGGAGATAGTGAGATTGTGTCAGTGCTTTCCCTCAGCCAAATCTCCCTTATTTTTGCGGACCCAGCGTATACCAGCACAAAATCGAGCGGAGAGGAGAAGACTACACGATTTAGAAGCCACTAAAATTTTTCGATCGTTGTTTGTGGGCCTGTAGGTGCATCTGATTTATGCCACACATGCGGCGCTGCCATACTGCGCTTTTGGAACTTGATTGCGCTTCCGGAACCTCCTTGTTCCTCTTCCCCTTCGTTGAGGGCCAAAATTTTTTTCCATGTTGTCGCGCTGTCCAGGCAAAGCGTAGCATTCGTGTGCCTTCATAAGTGAAGTTTACTTGTGGTGCCGCTGCTACTTGCGTGGGGACGGGAACAAACAATTAGCCACGCTTGGAAGCAAGCATGAGGCCAATGCACTACACACGCTTCCTTGGCATGACGAGAACTAGCCAGTGTGTTGACAGCCGCTCCACCCCCTATCAATCAAGCTGTATGGGGTTTTTTAGTCCCAGGAGCAGCATAAAAGAACTCCAAGAACGAACAAACTTCTGTGTGTCCCCCTGTGTTTTCGGAAAACATCAACACTCACCTAATGGGTGGTTGGTCATTTACCAGGGTCGGCTCCTTAAGGAAGCAGAGAAGTGCGGCAGCGTTTGTGCATCCAGTGGCATCGTAGCAGCGCATCTCGCGTGCGTTGTCGGCCATGAGAGAAACGTAACCAGCCACTGCGTTCTTGTAGTATATCTCGCCTGTTATCGCCTCGGTGCTGCTCTCACGACTGGTACCCTTTTTTTTGAAGGATGGCGGAAGTTCGGTGCTGCAGGCAGTGAAACGGATGACCAATGGATGGGAATCGGGGGGAAACAGGAGTCTGCTGCAGAGTTGATTACGATGGTTGAATAAATAAAAGGGCGGCTCAATGCGCACGTGAACGCGCAACCTCGGTAGGGTTGTCGCCATACATCTAGTCTACGTTCTAAAGTGTTGCCTAGCTGAGTGCTGTGCAAAATGTGCAAGCGAGAGGCTCGGCTTCGGTGGCTAGGCGCGTCGATGTGATCTCACCCCAGCATGCTATATCCAGACTGCCAGAACTTGACAGCTTCTTCAGCGGTGGGGGGCGTTTGACTCTCTTTACTGGTGGCGTAGATAAGAGTGTGCTCTTCTGCAACCTGTTCACATGTTCGACCGCTTTACAGCGTTCATTTCCAGCAAGTGAGATTGTCTAGCTCTAGCATCGGGACGAATTTTACTTTCATATAACCTCCACAAAAAGTTTTTGCTGGAAGGGCTCAACATGTAATGCGAACAAATGGGCTTTCCAAGTATTGATTCAATTTGGAAGAATAGAGCGATGACAGCTTGTGCAACGGGCAGAGTTGACGGCTCGCAGGCGCACAGTCGGATCGATTGTTGCTCCCTCTATCTCCTTGCAAGTCAGGTTGTACAGAGCCTTCTCATAGTCGGTTCCGCCTGCCCCTCTGCCCACTCGGAGTGACTTGAGTGCCTTTGGGGCTGTGAATTCGGGTAGGTCGAGACCCGCAACCTTACGCACAGCATTGACGGCTTCCAAGCATTTTCCGTGTTCAGAATCTACGAAAAAAAACGGAATACGGCTTCATTATACAATGAGTTCCCGTGGCCGCTCCACTTCGGCTTCTGCCTACGGAAAGTAAGTAGGGCACCCTTGCTGCTATTTCCTCCCACCGTGTGCTGTCAGCTTGGGCTTTGTCTTGTGGCTCTCCTCAACCTTGTGCCACATCTCGGGACTGAAGTAATGTTAAAAACAAGGGCAGCGATAAGCACTTCCGACGGACTGACGCATTCGTTTCCAATTCCGGAGCTCATACGTATGGCACATGTGTTTGGGTGCTAAAGCTGCACGGACACTTGTAGTGGCGCTTGCAAAGCAAGAGTAACGTTAGAAGGTTGTTTGCCTACTCTGTGGACTCACAAAGGATCTTGCAAAAGTGCTTTGCCCTGAGCCTACCTCACAGGCCGGTCGGACGCATTTATGTGAGAGGGCTTGAAATAGCAGACGAAGATTCCATCACAATTGTTAGCAGTGCCACAGTAAATGGCCTGCGCCTGGTCGCTCAACAAGCTGACAAGGCCTACAGCGTTTGGGTTTGCATACGCGCCGGTTTTTTCCGTGTACACTGAAGGATACTGCCCGCTGCGCAAACATACAAAAAGCTTTGCCAGCCGTGAAACTTTACTGCGGTGATAATCAGGGTGACTAGGAGCTGCGAGGCAAGGTGCTGTAAATACGTGGACGCACTTGAAGGCTTCAAATCCCTTTTTCCATTCGTTAAGAGCGTCATCGCAGGTCATATTGGACCTGGCAGCCTCGTCTGACTTGGCGGCTGAGATAACAAACATTTTGCCAGTCCCACTCTTGTCGACCTGCGTAGCACCATTCCACCTCGTTAGATTTTTCCTTAGTTGTGCCATAGCTCACCAGCATCCGTGTTTATTAGCAGGAAGCATCCGCCTCGTTCAACGCTTAAAGCGCCAAATGTGCGGTTGAGCTTACGATGTGGTTGTATGCCCCAGACTTGATATCAGTGCATTTGGTCAAGTTGAGAAAACTATCAAGTTCTGTTGCGGGATCCCCTGCTGTGTAGGCATTGTATTCAACAGCCTTTGAATCAATCGTTTTGCGCCACTCATTTATTTTCCCCGTGCAGTGGGTATCGCCGTCTGACGCAAATGGCACCAATGGACATGGACAGCGCTGAATTGTCTCTCCCCCCTTGTTTTGCCATATTCATAATTGAGAATATGCACCATAGTGTTAACCGCTGAAGCCACTGCCTATGGCACTTCAAGTCGCTCTGGGCCGTCACTCGCTCCCTGGAGAGTCAAAATCCCAGCACCGATTCCACCGCAGAGCTAACTGCATCCTACCTGCCTTAGTTATGCCCGTTATCTTAGCTTGTTCGTCCCTCACAATTGCGGAAAACGGGGAGTCTTGATTGAGAGCACCAGCAAAGTTCCCGCGCGCAAATGCGGTCGCCACCGCAAGTGCGGCACAAGTGCAGAGCGTTTTCATTGCTGAAACAACCAAAGCCAACAGTGTTTTCCAAAACTAATGCACTTGAACCAAGTGTAAAATGTGCTTGGGTTTTATCTTGGAAATTTTCACAGCGTCTGACACTCTCCTCCGGTGCTGAGCCCGGGCCCCCATTCTCGATGCAGCGAGTTCCGCACAAACGCACCTGCGCGCAGTCGATGAGTCCCCGTTGCTCCTTTGAGCCGTAAAAAATATTAACTTCGAATAGAAGGTAAATCAAAAGTGTAGTTTGAATTGCAACGGGCATGGATGCTCGGTTTCGATGAGAGTTACTCGCCCAAAAACTTCCAGGGGGTCACTCTGACGGGGCCGCAACATCGTCCCTAGCCAGCGCGCAAGCAGTAAGTTTAACACTGGGTGGTTCAGAAATATTGCACTTAAATAATTTCTTCAGTTTCATATATTGGAAGGGATAAGCGTAAACAATATTCCTGCCGTGCTGTGTTGGTAATGGGCCGGTTGTGCTGACCGCAATACAGTGTTCATCTAGAATGAAGAAGTGACCCTGCTTGAGGCACCCAGCCCTGTGCATACTGTACCTCGAAGACTATGCGCTTGCCCCTAAACCCACGCATGCTTTTTCGAGAGGCAAACGGGGGAATAAACGAGGGAAAGCAAACCCTGCGACGCAATGCCACAACCATATCACAACGTCCCGTCCGGAATGCCATTCAAACGAATGCTGCACGCCAAACAATAGGGGCATATTGTGTAGCAGACGGCCCCAGACTGCATAGGTTGTTTCCCTTTTTCTGCATATTTTCCACATTATCTTTGCGCCCAAAATCAGGATGGGACCGCTGCAAATACTGCCTTACCTGTGCAGGGCTCCCTCCCCACCAAAGCATAGCATCTGCATTTCAGTCCAACTAGGGGCAATGCGTAATGCATCAGCGTCTCCTAATGTAGTTGTATTGGCTTTATGCCAAAGGCTTTTCGCGCAACAGCTGCAAGCAACACGAGAATATGTCCAGCCGATGCAGCCAGCGTTAGGGTGAGGAGCGTCAGGAACAGACAGCAGAGCTGGCTGCTGCATTTGCTTAGAGACGGTCATCGAAGTTTGCAGAAGTGCCGATCATAATTGAGATTGTGCAGTATTTACCTGCACAACTGGTGCACTCTAAGGGCAAATTTGGACGTTCTTGGGCTGCAACAGCTTCTCATTTGAGCCACCAACAGCATAGAAGCAAACGGCGAAGCATGCACCTTTCCAGCATAAAAGATTTATTTTGAAGGCAACTTTGAACGGTTTCTTATTTTGGTGCACTTAAGTCAAGACTTCACATGGGTTTAGTCGAGTGAAGAATGTTTTGCATTATCAGCAATAGCCTGCGCTAAATCGGATAGCCACTATTGGTTGCCATCATGACACTGGATTCGAATTTTCCCGAAGTGCTGTTGCAGATTGAGCTGACTGCATTGGTGTGAACCTTAGTTCATCTTGTAATGCTGACGACCTTATTTGTGCTCAAGTTACAATCCATTCCCGTTATCGTGCAGATGGCATAGCAACGGAACAGTAACGCCTGCAACCCACAGGCCTCAACCAGGCCTCAGCAACAGCGCCTAACACGATAACAACAACAAGTAACCCCCAAATGTTGCTGTTGCAATAAATTTAGCAGCCAGTGTTTTGATTTTTGAAAAGGGGGAGAAACTGGCCAGACCTTTTGTTCCAGTTAAGGACGGTCTACGGGATAGCTGCAAGGCTACTGTTGAAGCTATTCTGTACAAATGAGTTAACTCTCAAACAACCTAAACGTGCATTTTCAACCGAAATGAACTTGCAGGGTGCAGAAACCCCATAGTATAAATGACCTCGTTTACCAATTCTACACGCAGCCTGCGCGAAACGCAGTAGTTTTCGAAGCTGGTTTTGCCTGCAGTGCCAAGCGCAGGAGCACCAGTAACTGCACGAAATGAACAAGTCTTTTATCTGCTGCGCGCTTCATGCTCTCCTCTATCCCAGAATTTTTTTTCGACATTCCGAACCCGCAACGGGTGAGGGGAAGGTGAATGCACTCGGACGGGCCAAACAGCGTGTCAAGAACCCCAAGGAATCAAATCGCTTTGCTACATTCCTTTAGCTTCAGCCACGTTCGTATCTTTACAAGACCTTGGGAAGCTGCTCGGCGCAGGGCATGCAAACAGTGCTGGTGCCGCCGCGCGTTTTCTTCTCCACTATTCTAGCTGAAAGCTCCATCATCACCCAGAGGAGCCAGAAGCGCCCAAAACTGCCGTGCCAGTAAGTACCGAAGCAATACCTGATAACACATGCGTTTGCCTAGCTTTGGGCATTTGTGTTGGCAGAGGGCCCCTCGAAAATCGAACCTTCTAAAGGGGCTCCCCCCATATTTGTAGTTTACACTGCAAGCACCGCTCTTGAGGGAATTACTGATGGCAGCCCTGCCCTGTAGCAGACGAGAGCAGCAAGAAGCACGCGTAAGACGCTTTTCTTCGGTTGGCCAGTAAGATAAGGTTCTTTTAATGGGCAGCAATTCAGCGCGTGGGTTAGACTTTACTTTCCAAGAATGCAGCACCTTCGTTCATAGACAGACTTCTATTAAAATGCAAAAAGAAGAGCATTTAACCTCTGCCTCTCGCCAGCTGGACGCCGAACCACGGTCTTCAGTGGGGCAATTGTCTGAACCCCTTTCTCATTTTGCCTAGCAAAGAACGCTGTCGGGGTTCGGATATATCCAAGATCTCAGCTAGCATACAGTCTATCGGTTGCCTAATCGCTGCACTCATCTGCATAATATTCACCTCAGTGCGCCGTTCAAAATTGCTTCACCGCGTGCGGAGGCTACAACAAGCCCAACGCAGTTGCCTACCCAGCAAAAAGCATTCCAAAGTCTAGGCCGTGTACTACAGCGGCTCATTGGACCTTCTACATATATTTACTAATTATTCTGATTAACCTCAGCGCAACGCCAGCTCTGGCCTTAGCGAGGACGTCAGGAGGGCGTGCAGCTTTGCTGCATGCTTGAGAAGGAAGCTGCCTTCCACTGCTGATCCTGCTGCAACATCTGTAGCGCAACCCATGAATTCACCTCTCCAGTGTGGGCTGACCGTTGGGAGGAAAAAGCCGCGAGAAAGCAGCACTTCTTGAGAAGTGCGTTTCTTGCCTACGGATCTCAAACTCCACAAAAGATGGCCAAGAGGCAGAGAGAGCGATTTTGGCCACCAATGCGGCGACTCCTGCTGCCGATGCTGCACCTTTCCAGTACTGTTCCAACCTACGCATAACCCGCAAACACCAAAGAAGAGACCTCGAAACATCAGCTCAGTAAGAGCAGCAGGAGGGTGTTCGAGCAGTGTATCATACTCCCCCACCCCAAACACCCAGAAGAACAATGTCTTCCGCTGCAGTGTATGCGCACTAAAGTGTAGGATGACTGCTCACCTGGTGCTGCCACTGCCCCTCGGGTCCGAAACAACAGTTGCCAGTTCATGTCCCTGTCATCCAGCCTCGGCAATGATGATATGGGTAGAGGTAGAGCAGCCCCACCACAGGTTTGACGCGCCAACACAACCTCTGCCGTGTCTGCTGCTGCTGCTGCTGCTGCTGCTGCTTCTGCTCGTGGTGCTCCTGTTTCTGCCGATTCTGCTTCTCCTGCTGCTCCCGCTCTTGCTGCCACTGCAGGCAACCCCAGCTGCAGCGCCAGTTGCTGGGCCTGCTGCAGCGCCTGCATACAGCGAAGACGAAGTGGCTGGATCTTCTCGACGGAGCATGCGTCGGCAGATGTTAAAAACCCAAGAGCCCAGCGGACCTTCTGGTGCAGCAGCAGCAGCTCATCCGTGGCAGCGGGCCGCTGCAGCAGCGGTGTTGCAGCAACGCCAGACAAGGAGCTGCACGGCCGTGGCTTCCAAGGCGCTGCTCCTCGGGATCCTAAGCTTAACAAACTAACACTAACGGGCAGCGCCATCAGCCGGAAGTGCCACAACTCCAGTGCGTGAGCCGCTCGGTCTGCTGCTGCAACAAGGTGTGGGTTATGCTCTGATCCAGATACTGTTGATTTATATCCTACTGCAGACTTTTGCAGTGAGGAAGCAGTTAAAGCCTCACTAATCGAGTGCAGCAGAGCTGCTGCCTCACCCAATAAGACAGCAGCTTGCAGCCGCACTAGCGGATCTTCCTCTCCCACCGCCCTAGCCGCTTCACGAATTGCCTCAGCAACATTGCCGCCTTCCTCTGCTGCAGCAGTCAAATCTGCAGCTTCTACGCTGGAAGGCTCTTCGACGTTGGTGCTGTGCCGCCACGCATGCACAGCGTCTATGGCCGCCAGCCACAGCGGATCCTGCAGGAGCCGCAGCTTGCCTGTAGAGGCAGCCGCAGCAGCAACAGCAGCGAATGCTGCAGGGTACTCACGCTGCAGCTGTAGTATAGGAGAACGCGCAGCGCATGATGCCGCTCGAGAGCTGGTATTCAAGCCAGCTGCTCCTGACTCCTCAGTTGGGCATTCGCCGCACCAGGCTGCACCGTGAGCTGTAGAGTCATCTACAGCACAATGTGTTGCGTATTGCGGAGCAACCGTAAGCATCCTTACACACTGGTAGCCGTCTTCGCCTCCGGAAGAAGGTGCAAACTTTACGCAGTTTCCTCACCCTTGGAGAGCCCGCATAGCCGTGGTGTTCACCGCCACACGATGCAGCACCCGTGAGGGCAGTAGAACCTACCAGGTGTACCTGTTCGGGAGACGACAGGAGAAAACATCTGGGGGAAAGAGCTTGAGTAACATGCTGCTCCGGCGAGTGCTCCCCAGGGAAGGCCTCCCCAGCAGCTGGTAGGATGATTTGGCAACGATATTGCTTCCCCTTCTGCTAATGCTTTGGCTGCTGGCCGTCTGGCTTCTTCGTTAAGCACACCGGGGCGCCGCCAACCCTCGGAAACATGCAGGCCAACGAAGCTGCATGCACCGCTGGTCTGAATCGATGGGCAAGCCTGTGCCCTCTTCGGGATGCAAATTCAGTTAAGCTGTACTGGTAACTCAGTAACAGATCAAACTCTAATGACAGTGCGGAGTTGTGCCGCCTGTCGTTCGTGAAGCAACTGTCGTCACCGCAGTGCATGCGCTCCGCCACTGTGCCTTAGCCGAAGTGAGGCCGTTGGTCCACGTTGAGATTAAATGAAAAAGTGATAATTATGTTTTATTTACGTCCGCCTTTCGCCTTCAAATTGAGCCCAAAGTGTTGATGGATTTGGGCGCGTAGCGCCACTAAGTGTTTTGCCGCATCCTGGGGCCAGGTAGGTCACCGGGTAGCAGTGAAGCGAAGGCGGAATGTAGTCGAAGCTGCAACGGAAAGCCCGTATTAGAAGAAATACACTGGATCTGAATAATTCTAGAGTAATTGGCAACTTAAGAGCACTCGAGCCACTACTGTGGAACTAAGTACTTCCGCCGTCTGCGGGTGCAGGCGTCATCAGGCAACAGAGTCGACCGTGCGAGCCCCAATTCGGCGCTACGCGGGTGAGTCGGCTGCAGGCTCAACTTCAAAAAAGAAATGTTCGGGCAGTTGTCTAGAGCCGATTGCATTTGGTAAATTTAGAGGATATCAGTCGTTTTCCTCGTTCTGGAGATGAAATCGCTGTGCAGCTGTGCCGCACTTGCGGTCGCAACCGCACTTGCTCACGGGAGTTTTGCGAATGCCATCGCTCAAGGCAAAACGGCACTCCAGAGTTTTCGCGACGACAGCACTACTCCAACCGGGCTGACTCCGCCAGGTAGGTTGCAAAAAAGCTCCTCAGAGAAGCTGTCACTGCCCGCTCTGTTCTGAACGGCTCTACAGCCTCAGGTGGCCCTTGTAACCATACTCCTCAATCTTTGCGTAAGACAGTCATAAGGTGCAGTAGGATCAAAATACTTTAAGCAACGCACAAAAGCGAGCTTTAGCCACCCCTCTAATCTCCAGGCATCGTGGCCACACTGGCACAATAGCCCGGGCTCGTTCGGGAAGCTTATCCGCTAATGAGTTGCAGCACCTCTTGGTGCAACTCCTGGTGCAAGACGAGCCCACACGAAAGCATGCCCAAGGCAGCTTTTTATGCATGCACTAACAGAGTAGACAATTGCTGAACAATGACTGTTCGGTCAGCACCCAGCCTGCGCGCACGCAGGAATGCATGCACCACCAACTCCAGACAGAGCGTGCTACGGGCCTAAATGCCAAGAAGTGTCACAAATAATAGCAACAGCCTCTCAGGATACATTATCAAGCCGCAGCTTTCATAGTGATCCAATGCACTAGCAGAGAAGAAGAAGAACAGCTTTGGGGCGGATTTTGAATATTGAGGCTATATTCCGCAGATGCCGAAAACCACTGCACGGTTGAAATAAACAAGTGGCGAAAGGAACTGAACGAAGATGCACCAAATTACGAAAAACTCGCCGACGGAGATCCAAGCGCAGATCTTGCGGCTTTCTTCCGCTCGTATAACTGTGGCACTCTTAAGTCCGGGAATTTCAAACACATTGTTGTAGGTCCAGCTGTGTATTTGATTGCCTCGAAGCCCGGCATGACGCGAATACCTCCTATTCGTAGAATGCTAAAAAGGTTAGAGCACAGAAAAGGATAGAGAGCGGGTGCGGCTTCTTTCAGGGGGAAGGCGATCCCACAGCATTTGTCATTTCGGCCACACGGCCACCTGACTCCATGCGAGCAGCAGCCGCAATGACCTGCGAAGAGGCCCTTAAAGAGTGGAAGAAAGGATTTGAAGAATTCTCGTACGTGATACTAAAGACGTCGGTTTTTCCCTTTTCCGTAGTCATGGATGGGTCACAACTTGTCACGGCAGGCCAAGCCTTCTGTGTACCTTTTCAGGGGCAACTACCCTGAAGCGTTCACAGACAACACCGGAGTATACGCTAAGCCGAATGCTGTAGGCCTGGTCAGCTTGTTGAGCAAGAAGACGGAGAAAATTTATTGCGGCGCTCCAACTAGCTGTGATGCGGGAACCCTTGTTTGCTATTTCAAGCCCGCTGGCGTAAAGGCGGGGGAGCGTCCTGTGACGTGAGTGTAGAACACCTTTTAGGACAGCTTGCTGTGGCGGGAGTGTACAGTAGCCGGATAACCAGTTCAGGGAATGTGCATCCCGAGTGACACTACAATCTGCTCCCCAATGAAACGCCGGAACACGGGAGCGACAAAAAACATTTTTGTTCTGCAGTTGAAAGCCCCATAAGTAGCCAACCATTAAGGAACGTAGCAACGTGAGCATGCGAGCCTTGTATCATATAACTGCAGACCCGAGATGTGGCACAAGGTTGAGGAAAACTTCACGCTGAAGCCAAAAGTGGAGGCTCACAGTAATACAAGATTTCAGCGTTGATACCTCACACAGACACCGTGACAGACAGCCAGAGCAAAGTGTATTGCGCACTTCGCTATTTAATGACAGTGCCAGACTGTCTTTACTTGCAGGTGACGACCAGCAAGAGTGCTTGGACGCGGTCAATGCTGTCCGTGAGGTCGCAGGGCTAGACCTTCCCCCATTCACTGCTCCACAGGACCCAAAGAAAATGAAAACGAGCAGTGCCGCCACTTACGAGGATGCATTGTATAACTTGACATGCGAGGATATTAAAAATTCAGCAATCGACCCAACGGTGAGTTTTTTTCTCGACTGGCAGTTCCTCGGAGAGGACTCTGCTAGTTCCTTATGCGCTGAAGTTGGACAAATACTTGAAAGACCGACGCGCACACACCCCAAGTAAACACAAACATGCTATTTAAACTTCGAGTCAGCCCTGTGCCTCTCGGAAAAGATGCACAACCTCGTCCGGCTGGAGTGCATGGTGCGGGGTGGTGCAATTCATGAGCAGGTGGCAGACAAGTGCACTCTTATCTACGCCGTTAAGGCGGGCGGCACTGCCCCAACCGCAGCAGAAGCTATCGAGTTCTGGAAAACAGGATTTAATAAGCTTGGGTCAGTGCGCATCCCCACAAACACAGGAGAAGTGCAGACTGCAGGGTGCTGGGAAATATCTCGCATTCCAGATCCTCCAACTCAAGCGCGTGAAGAATTTTTAGGGGGATGTGTAGACGAAGAGTGACACTGTGGCGAGCGGAGCGTAGCACCTTTACAAACCAACGTGCCCGATTTTCCTCTATCCTTCCTACTTGGTAAATGCTTGATGACTAACATTGCCTGCAGCACCGAGGTACCTCCAGCCTTCACTAAAAAAGCACTTGAGCGTGCTGAAGCAGTTGACGGAAAAATCTACTACGATAACGCAGTGGCAGGCTTCGCTTCGCTTATGGTTGATGATCCCCGCGAGATGAAGTGCTATAACGCTACGGGCTGCGCTAATGCGGCACTCCTCTGCTTCCTTTCAACCCCGACCTTGGTGGAAAAGACGAAGCCAATAAGGTGAGCTTTGAGAATTACCGTAGAAGCTCTGCGACAAAAGCAGTTGCGTCCTTGCTTCCAGCCCTTTACTGTTGTCGATGTGAACTAGAGAACTGTACATAATAGATCTCCTTTGAATTAATCTTTCTGCTTCTTGGTGTGCTGGCGTGCTCGCTTTTTAAGATGAAGCGGCCTTGAGATCATTCACTCAGATTTTGCCTCTCAAAGGCTAGGCCTATTCACAGGTAGACAGCATCGGTCTTACGCACAATCAGGCCCCCATGTGGTAGAGCGATGCGGCCTTCTTTATGCGCACAGCGACGGCACATGGAAAAAGATTTTGGATCTCAAAGAGGCAAATAGCGGAACCACCGACAAGGAGACGATCAAATTCACAGAACGCGGTATGGAGCCACTGCACCCACCTCACAGCATACAAACTAAACCTCCATAGTATGGTGGCAAATGTTGGCAGCGTCACGGAGCGATATACTCCGCAGAAAAGTGCAGTTGCCGCATGATGGTGGGCAACGCTCTTTTATCAGGAGGCCACTTAGCGTCTGGAAAGTAGCAGTTATAAGCTGTTGCTAGGCAGACGCAGCTGTGCTATGTGATACTTCCAATTGCGGAATACCAGAGGAAGCGGAGAACTGCCTCGCGGAAATTAATGAATTCCGCACACAAGAGAGTCTTGGACTGAAGCCCTTCGTTGCCAGGGACAAAACTTCGGTAGACAGTTTGAAACCGGTGGATTACGAAGCGCTCGCGAAAGGTTTGACATGCGAGGCCCTCAAGGCTGGAAATGCCCCCATCATGGTACGCCTCTGAACCACCTTTCTTTGAGTCATTTTTGCCATAGCCAACACTTTAGCGATGCTATACGAACCCACAAAATCGCTCGCCGAGGAACAGGGAGTTTGCATTTACTGCCGGAATGCCAGATACATTAGAAAGCAATGCAGGAGCAAATGCACCAAATATCAGGTGTACATGCAATGCCCATATTATTTCTCCTCAGTCCGACACCGCAGATGCCAGTGTGATGTACTACTCTGGCACAAGCGCTACATGCTTTGAAGCCCTTAACGCTTGGAAAGAAGGCTATAAGAAGTTTAGGTGAGGCTGCAACCCGTCCCCAAATTTCCAGCGGCCCTGCACGCTGAAAGCAATCCTATTTCATCAGCGGAGAAAGTGAAGCCACGGTAGACACTTTTGTAGCCTGTGCATGCTCAAATCATGCGGTTGATCCCACCTTTGGGGCATGGCTGTCTTTCCTTATCAGCAACGTCACCATCCCTCCAAAGTACACTTCAACAGAGGAACTGTACAAGACGGGAGCTGCAACAAACTTTATCTCGCTTGTCAGCGAAGGAACTGACACCAAAACCACATGCTACACTGTCTCTGGCTGCACTGAACAAGGCCTGGTTTGCGTGCTGCAACCTGCCGCCTTCAAGAAGGAAGAATTGCCCATCACGTCAGCATTCTAATACCCTCCATGAGCTGAACCCTTCCGTTGTAGCCTGAAACCGTCGTGGTGCAACATAACCACACGTCTAGGCACGCCAATTGAGCACCGGCAATTGCGCATGGTTAAGTCTTAACACAGTCAGGAAGGGTTAAGTTAACATCGACGACGGTTTTGTGGTTTGTGCTTGCCTTCAGCGAGGCCACCTGGGCAAAGGTTACTAAAACCCTCAGCAACGGAGTTACCGCTGGCTCTGTCTGTGGCACCCTGCTGAGCAGCTTTTTGGTTGCTGTCGGTCTCTTCGCCCTCAACTACTAAATACATCCTGCACTGAGCTGCGCAGTGCAACCACCAACCTAAACAATCTGTGCTGTGAGCTTAGTCCGCGGGACTAGTATGCCAGCATATTTTCCCAATGAACACCTTGAACTGAGGCAGCTCCTCGCATGGGCGTGCGTTTAAAAAATGTATCATGCACTGTCCATTGCAATATAGACCACCTCACAGCTAGCAGCTCGGCGGGTTGGCGTAAAGCGCCGGAACGATACTGGCTCTAGCAACAGTATTTTTAGACGTAAAGAGCTCTCTGTTTGACTGAGTACAGCGGCACAAGTGCGTAACAGGCGGATCACAGAAGTTGCTAGTAAAGCCACAGTCGTTACACCTTTACACTCATACATTATTTTAATCTTTCCCAGCTATTGCAGATGACGAAGGCCCCTTTTTGGTAAAATTCTGGTCCCTCTCACGGCATTGCCCGAAGTCCCACCACGGGGCACTTTGGCTACTTCACCCGGTAACTCCTGTGCAATACCCATAAGCTGAGGAATAAGGGTATTTTCCGTTTATATACCTGTGGCATGGAGACAGCTGTGCAATATAAACACTTCAGAGAGCCACTAATCATACGATTCGGCTCTAAAGACGAGGCCGAAAGCATTTTGGACGTTGTAGGAAGAAACTTGCGAAGCCCCTCTATGCACAGCAGGTATAAACATCATCACTGACCTACATAACAATAGGGATCAGGGCCCTATGCCTTACATTGCGCTGATGAACAAAGTGCTTTCCCCTATGATCTCCGGTAACAGCGTTGCTTGGCATTTTCATTTGGGCGCTGCATGCCACCGTACGAAACCGGAATGGACGCCCTTAGGGGCTGTAGAATAAAAAAATCGAAACTATATGGAGAAATGCCATGACAAATCATATAAAGCTGCATTCAGCAATTATGGATAATGTAGAGCATATTCTGTCTGATAGTCGGGCGCGGAAATTCAAGATGCAAGGCGAAAGTCAGCAGTAGTCCGGCCACTTACGAAAGAGTCACTTATGTTTGAAGAATGCATTAAAAGAAGCATGCTGAATCTCCATTTTCCGTACGAAAGATGAGGAGCGAGACCTCCAATCATGAATGTGTTGAAAACTAGCAAGCGGTACTTCTTGCTTATATTACTGGCCTCAAGCTTGGTTCTTGCACTACTTTGTGCACTTTTCTCTCACGGGGTGAATTCATCAGGCTCCAGGCCCCCTGAAAAAAAATTGTACGGTGGCAGCTCTAAGCATACAGCTCAAATGTTGCATACTCCATGCCTTGGCATGAAGGGCAAGCCACGAATGTTACTAGAGAATGGCAATGACTGCAGCACTCCTATTCACCGTTATTCCTGAAGCTACGCGACCTCTATGGAGCATTATGAACAAGACTGCTTAGAAATATGCAAATGGAGACAAGCTTGGGTAGGTGGGTTTGGATGGCACGAATTTAAGGAGGTCATCGTCGACGAAACAGTTTGTGAATCCAGTCGTGCGCAATTGATCCGCGTGTCCCTACTGCCTTGTAGGCTGCCGACTAAAGGCCAAGTGAATGTTCACCACTTGTGTAAGTGCTTATGTATGAAGCAATTGAGGCTTTATTGGGCTTGCATGCGGGTTTTCCTTGCTGCACTAGTTACAGCAAGGTGCATTGCAATTCAGCTCAGGTCCCCCCTCTCCCTCAGCCCCAGACCTTGAACAGAACGCCTGGGGAGCTGAGGGGAGGATATCAGCTGCCTTTTACGAATTCTAGCCTTAAGTATACTCGCTAGCTTGCAGCTCACGGTGGCGTTCCTGGGATAAGAGTGCGGCCGTGCTCGAGTTATACCAGACCTCACGTGAGACGTCTTAAGTTGCATATTATTAGGCTAGCACAACTGTGCTAGCAGAAAAATTACTGAAACTATGGCAAAGAATGCAAAAAAACCCAATGGATGCCTTAACGCCGTTCTACGCAGCCAGTCGATACAGAACGTGCAACATTCAAGTTTCGCTTATTTCGAAAAGTGGCGCATGCGAGATTGAAGGCGTCCGTTGGGGTGTGTGTAGACGTGTGAAGCGGAACGCGCTAAAATACAATTTAAATGAATTATTTTCTTAATTAGAAAAGAAATTGAAATTATAATGAAGAAGATAAACTCTCTCTTGCAACAAGCGCGAGCGCAGCAGCGGCCTGGGGCCCTGAAGCTGCAGCGCCCTCCTTAGCATAAGCCGTCGCTACGTCATCAGCGCAGTGCTGTCTGCATTTGTGTGTGCATCTGTTTGTTTTATAAGTTAATTAGAAGAGCGTTTTATTCATTTTTTCTTTACTATTGACATAGTACAGCGAGCTATGTGTAAACGTCTTCGAGCTTTCAGCTTGCAGCTACTTCGGCGCAGCCGGAGCTAAGAGGTTATTAAGGCCGCAGCACGCAGATTCACTACCTTCTGTTTATATTTTTTTTGTTCTCTGGCACGATTACATAGCGTTTTGTGTTTACTGTGGGAATATCTTCGTTCTAAATAATCATTTTTCTTCTTTCACTCCTCGACTCCGCCGCCACAAGGCTGGCTGTGATGCTGCATTTATTCACATATTCTCTTCGCCAAAACAGCACTACTTTGGATGCCTTCTGCTTTTGATACTTGAGCAGCAAGCTACGACAAGTTGCTGTTGCACTTCGAGGTGTACGTACACCTCGTGAAGCGGCTCTGAATCTGCGGGTTAATTTCAGTAGTTTCTCTCCTTCTAGAACAGGGGGCACCAGCACCACCGGCTGCAGCAGCGCCTGCTGCTGCAACCGTCGTGCTGCAGCAACAGCAGCAAAATGGATCTCCTCGATGCCATCGTGGGACCCCCGAAGAAGGAGCTCTTCTTGTC